AAGGGGACATGGGGACACATTGGAGACAGGAGGGGACATGTTGGGGACAAGTTGGTGATAGGAGGGGACACATTGGGGACAGGAGGGGACACGTTGGGTATACATTGGGGACAGGAGAGGACACGGGGACACATTGGGAACAGGAGAGGACACATTGGGGACAGGAAGAGACACATTGGGGACACCTCGGGGAGAGGAGGGGACACAGGGACACGTTGGGGACAGGAGGGGACATGTTGGGGACATGTTAGGGACAGGAGGGGACACGGGGACATGGTGGGAACAGGAGGGGACACAGGAGGGGACAGGAGAGAATGAAAGGGGACAGGAGGGGACACATTGGGGACATGGTGGGAACAGGAGGGGACACATTGGGGACAGGAGGGGACATGGGGACACGCTGGGGACACGGGGACGCGCTGGGGACCCGTTGGGGACGCGGCCGTGCCGCCTCGCGCAGCACTACGACGAGGAGGAGGAGGAGGACGACGAGGACGACGAGGACAGCGAGGAGGACTCGGAGGACGACGAGGACATGCAGGACATGGACGAGATGAACGACTACAACGAGTCGCCCGACGACGGGGACATCAACGAGGTGGGGACACCGGCGGGGACACGGGGACACTGGCGGGGACACGGGACACCGGCGGGGACACGGGACGCCCGCGGGGACACCGGGACACCCACGGGGACATGGGGACACCCGCAGGGACACCGGGACACCGGCGGGGACACCGGGACCCCCGCGGGGACACGGGACACCAGCGGGGACACGGGGACACCCACGGGGACACAGGACACCAGCGGGGACACGGGGACACCCACGGGGACACCGGGACACCCGCGGGGACACCGGGACACCGGCGGGGACACGGGGACACCGGCGGGGACACGGGACGCCCGCGGGGACACCGGGACACTGTCGGGGACATGGGGACAGCGGCGGGGACACGGGACACCGCAGGGACCCCAGGACACCCGCAGGGACACGGGAACACCCACGGGGACACCGGGACACCCGCGGGGACACCGGGACACCGGCAGGGACACGGGGACGCCCGCGGGGACACAGGACACCAGCGGGGACACGGGGACACCGGCGGGGACACTGGGACACCGCGGGGACACGGGACACCCACAGGGACACCGGGACACCCACAGGGACACCGGGACCCCCGCGGGGACACAGGGACACCAGCGGGGACACGGGACACCAGCGGGGACACCGGGACACCCACAGGGACACCGGGACCCCCGCGGGGACACAGGGACACCGCGGGGACACGGGGACACCCATGGGGACATGGGGACACCCGCGAGGACACTGGCCCCGTCCCGCCGGGAGTGGCGCCCGGAGCCGCCGCTTCCCTCCGCAGGTGGACATGGAAGGGGCGGAGCAGGATCAGGACCAGTGGATGATCTGAGGGCGGCCGGAGGAGCCGGGAACGGCGCGCGGGACACCGGGACGGAGCTCGGGATACCGGGATGGTCCTTGGGACACCGGGACGGAGCTCGGGATACCGGGATGG